TGAGATCCCCAACATGGGAGGGGATCCACAGAAACTTGATGACTCTTCCCTGATTGGTAAGTACTCTCACAGCTCTCTTAATTTCAGCGACTATTGCAAGATTTTCTGCCCGATTTTTACTTAGGCTCTGCAGTGCTGCTTTTGAATCAGTGCAAATTACTGCACCATTAGTGTTCCGTTCAAGAAACCTTAACGCCATAACAATGGCAGTTTGCTCTGCTTGCGTTGAAGAGGCATAGTTCTCAATACGTGCTTTTTCTTCATTTCTGCGTTGGAAAGTATTATCCTTGATTACCGTGTATGCTGCACCAGCCCTGCCATTGACAGGGTTAGATGACCCGTCAGTGTAGATTTGATCTAGTTCATCTCCGGCTTCTTTATAAATTTCCTCAAGATACTTGTGCCTCATTTCTTGTGGTATCATGTTGGATTTTTTCATTGCCATTTCATCGATGATGATCTTGCATGAGTCATCCTCCCAGGGAGGTAACCTCTCTACAGGCAGGAGCTCACGGGCTTGCTCAAGCAGGTGAAGTTCTTCGAGGTAGCAGACTGATCTATGATGCCATTTTTTGCTTCTCCTGTTTCCTCCTGAAAGTAGCACAGAGCTCAGTTTTTCTTAGCAATATAATTGTAATGGGGATCTCTGGCTATCCTATTTGCAAGCTTAGCATTCAGCTCCTTAATTCTGCTTTTAACACTGGGGAGGGACAACTCATCTCGTAGATTAGACGTTTTGGCAGTTCTTGGAACTCCAAGAATGATTGTCATGGCTTCATTTTGAATGCTTTCAATCCTTTTCATATCGCTTTGGGAGTAGGTGCACAGAACTGGTGCGGCATAGTCTATGATGGAGCGCACATGAGCTGTGTACATCATTTTAAGCACGGCAATAGAGGCTCCATGTCAATTCCAGGTCATAGCTTTCAGTGCCCTGAGTCGACTTTTGCATGTTCCTATGAGTTGATTGAGCTCCTCTTTCTTCCCCTTGTTAGAGCCGACAGTGACGCCAAGGTACCGATAGTGGTCAACCCATTCAAGTGTTACACCATTAATTTGCAGTTTTTCATTTGCTCTCCGCTTGTGATGGGAGTATGCCTTCGTCTTGTTTGTGGAGAGAGTGAAACCGAGCTCAATACATTTCCTTCCAAGGAGTTCAATGGACTGTTCAATTTTTCCCAAGGTGGGAGCTTGTATTAGGACATCATCTGCATATCCCACTTGTTGTGCTCCTTCCGGAAAATCAATATTTGCAATGGCGTTCATAAGTACATTGAATAGTGTAGGGCTTATGACTCCGCCTTGGGGAGTCCCGAGTTCCATATTCATTGTTCTGGAGACTGCTCCATTGAAGCAAACCTTAGCAAGATTACAACTACTGACCTAGTTGGAGTTAGTAAATGGAATGTAATAGGTAGTGATGTGGTGAAGCATACCACATGAGTATGGATGAGGCATCCATCAATATGGATGACTCATCCATGAGTATGGATGACTCATCCATGTGCATGGATGACTCATCCAAGAGTATGGATGACTCATCCATGTGTATGGATGACTCATCCATGTGCATGGATGACTCATCTAAGAGTATGGATGACTCATCCATGTGCATGGATGACTCATCCAAGAGTATGGATGACTCATCCAAGAGTATGGATGACTCATCCATGTGTATGGATGACTCATCCATGTGTATGTATGACTCATCCAAGTGTATGGAAGACTCATCCAAGTGTATGGAAGACTCATCCAAGTGTATGGAAGACTCATCCATAACCTCTGAACTTTTTACAGCTTCGTCTTGTGCTTGACAAGGTACGGGCTCCATGCTGGTGCCGCATACTCCAGGATTGGTCTTACATATGTGGTATACAAGGTTCTGAATGATTCCTTACGCAGGTTTCTGAAAGCTGTTCTGATGTTAGCCAGCCTCGCATACGCCGCCGATGTTATTCTTCTCATGTGCGCTTCAGGAGACAGGTTTGGTGTGACATCAACTCCTAGATCTTTCTCTCTGTCCGTTTGGTGAAGTACTTCATCTCCCATTCGGTATCCTGTGTCTGGCCTCCTGTTTCCACCGCCTAGTTTCATTACCTTACATACAGGAAACAGTCGGTAACAGCTGTCTAACTCTCAGGTATATATTTACTGGTAGGTGAACAGTTGCATCAGGGTGAAATAAACTCTGCCCATTTGTTTCCGTCTCCGCCAGGGATCGATCCCCGGGCCATAGGATCACGAGACCCATTTTTGCCCACTCAGCCACCGGCCCCTACGTGCTGACGTGTATATGTGTACGTATGCGTGCGTGTTCTCACCTGTGTGTGCCTGCAGGATCGAGCATTAGCTCCCGGGACCCGACTTTCTCGCCGCCGTATGTTTAGAGCAATGACTCGGGCCCCGCGTCCCTCTCATTACTTACACCGTGATCACATCGTAGGTTCCTTCCTCACAGTAAGTTGCTCCAAGTGTGCACTGATATCTTGAGATCTTGAGGTTATCTTGAGATGATTTCGGGGCTTAACGTCCCCGCGGCCCGGTCCTCCACCACGTCTCCTGTTTGTTACACATCCCCATCCCCGTAGCACCTGTATAACTCCCAGGTACCTACTTAATGCTGGGTAACAGGAGCATCAGGGTGAAAGAAACGCTGCCCATTTGTTTCCGCCTCCGCCGAGGATCGAACCCGGGACCTCAGAAATACGAATCCGAAGCGCTGCCCTTGTATACTCCCACAACCCCTTGTACCACCTTGTATACTCTCACAACCCTTGTACCTCCTTGTATACTCTCACAACACCTTGTACCACCTTGTATACTCTCACAACACCTTGTACCACCTTGTATACTCTCACAACACCTTGTACCACCTTGTATACTCTCACAACCCTTGTACCACCTTGTATACTCTCACAACCCTTGTACCACCTTGTATACTCCCACAACACCTTGTACCTCCTTGTATACTCTCACAACCCCTTGTACCACCTTGTATACTCTCACAACCCTTGTACCTCCTTGTATACTCTCACAACCACTTGTACCACCTTGTATACTCTCACAACCTCTTGTACCACCTTGTATACTCTCACAACCCTTGTACCACCTTGTATACTCTCACAACCCTTGTACCACCTTGTATACTCTCACAACCCTTGTACCACCTTGTATACTCTCACAACCCTTGTACCACCTTGTATACTCTCACAACACCTTGTACCACCTTATATACTCCCACAACCCCTTGTACCACCTTGTATACTCTCACAACCCTTGTACCACCTTGTATACTCTCACAACCCTTGTACCACCTTATATACTCCCACAACCCCTTGTACCACCTTGTATACTCCCACAACCCCTTGTACCACCTTATATACTCCCACAACCCCTTGTACCTCCTTGTATACTCTCACAACCCTTGTACCACCTTGTATACTCCCACAACCCCTTGTACCTCCTTGTATACTCTCACAACCCCTTGTACCACCTTGTATACTCTCACAACTCTTGTACCACCTTGTATACTCTCACAACACCTTGTACCACCTTATTTACTCCCACAACCCCTTGTACCACCTTGTATAGTCCCACAACCCCTTGTACCTCCTTGTATACTCTCACAACAAATGTACCACCTTGTATACTCTCACAACCACTTGTACCTCCTTGTATACTCCCACAACCCCTTGTACCTCCTTGTATACTCTCACAACCCTTGTACCACCTTGTATACTCTCACAACACCTTGTACCACCTTATATACTCCCACAACCCCTTGTACCACCTTGTATACTGTCACAACCCTTGTACCTCCTTGTATACTCTTACAACCCTTGTACCACCTTGTATACTCTCACAACCCCTTGTACCACCTTGTATACTCCCACAACACCTTGTACCACCTTGTATACTCTCACAACCCTTGTACCTCCTTGTATACTCTCACAACCCCTTGTACCACCTTGTATACTCTCACAACCCTTGTACCTTCTTGTATACTCTCACAACCCTTGTACCTCCTTGTATACTCTCACAACCCTTGTACCTCCTTGTATACTCTCACAACCCTTGTACCACCTTGTATACTCCCACAACCCCTTGTACCTCCTTGTATACTCTCACAACTCTTGTACCCCCTTGTATACTCTCACAACCCTTGTACCTCCTTGTATACTCTCACAACCCTTGTACCTCCTTGTATACTCTCACAACCCTTGTACCACCTTGTATACTCCCACAACCCCTTGTACCTCCTTGTATACTCTCACAACTCTTGTACCCCCATGTATACTCTCACAACCCTTGTACCACCTTGTATACTCTCACAACCCTTGTACCTCCTTGTATACTCTCACAACCCCTTGTACCACCTTGTATACTCTCACAACCCTTGTACCACCTTGTATACTCTCACAACACCTTGTACCTCCTTGTATACTCTCACAACACCTTGTACCACCTTGTATACTCTCACAACACCTTGTACCTCCTTGTATACTCTCACAACCTCTTGTACCACCTTGTATACTCTCACAACCACTTGTACCTCCTTGTATACTCTCACAACCCCTTGTACCACCTTGTATACTCTCACAACCCTTGTACCACCTTGTATACTCTCACAACCCCTTGTACCACCTTGTATACTCTCACAACCCCTTGTACCACCTTGTATACTCTCACAACCCCTTGTACCACCTTGTATACTCTCACAACCCTTGTACCACCTTGTATACTCCCACAACCCCTTGTACCTCCTTGTATACTCTCACAACTCTTGTACCCCCTTGTATACTCTCACAACCCTTGTACCTCCTTGTATACTCTCACAACCCTTGTACCTCCTTGTATACTCTCACAACCCTTGTACCACCTTGTATACTCCCACAACCCCTTGTACCTCCTTGTATACTCTCAACTCTTGTACCCCCATGTATACTCTCACAACCCTTGTACCTCCTTGTATACTCTCACAACCCTTGTACCACCTTGTATACTCTCACAACCCTTGTACCTCCTTGTATACTCTCACAACCCCTTGTACCACCTTGTATACTCTCACAACCCTTGTACCACCTTGTATACTCTCACAACCCTTGTACCACCTTGTATACTCTCACAACACCTTGTACCTCCTTGTATACTCTCACAACACCTTGTACCACCTTGTATACTCTCACAACACCTTGTACCTCCTTGTATACTCTCACAACCCCTTGTACCACCTTGTATACTCTCACAACCACTTGTACCTCCTTGTATACTCTCACAACCCCTTGTACCACCTTGTATACTCTCACAACCCCTTGTACTACCTTGTATACTCTCACAACCCCTTGTACCACCTTGTATACTCTCACAACCCCTTGTACCACCTTGTATACTCTCACAACACCTTGTACCACCTTGTATACTCTCACAACCCTTGTACCACCTTGTATACTCTCACAACCCTTGTACCTCCTTGTATACTCTCACAACACCTTGTACCACCTTGTATACTCTCACAACCCCTTGTACCTCCTTGTATACTCTCACAACCCTTGTACCTCCTTGTATACTCTCACAACCCCTTGTACCACCTTGTATACTCTCACAACCCTTGTACCACCTTGCATACTCTCACAACCCTTGTACCTCCTTGTATACTCTCACAACCCTTGTACCTCCTTGTATACTCTCACAACCCTTGTACCTCCTTGTATACTCTCACAACCCCTTGTACCACCTTGTATACTCTCACAACCCCTTTTACCTCCTTGTATAATAATAAATAATAAATTAATACTAAATATCGTACCGACAGAAGGTGATTTTGGCCACATTTACAACTGCCGTTAATTCCCATTTTTTTGGCCATTAACATTTTTCTTGCATCAATGTAGAAAAATGTCCTCATAAGACCAATAGAAACATTAAGATTATGCAAAATTTGAGGCATAATTGATGACTGTAGCAGCAGTGGTTGGTAAGTTATGGCCGGCTAAGCCATCCGGCTCCCTCCCCCTCCTAGTGGGCGCGTTCAGAGCGCCTGCCGGCCCCCAAAATGGTGTCAATCACCCAAAATAAATTTTAGTCTTACTTTCGGCATATTTCCCGGGGATTAGGAACGGCACTTTATCGGATTTTTGCGAAAAGTAATTTTCCACGTCGCCCTAATACACAGGAAGCCTTCGTTGGCTTAGTGAAGAGTGACTCTTGCTATAAGGATGTTCAAAATATACACACACACTAGCAGTCGTAGGTTGGCACACTGTGTCACGGCCCTCTTGTGTGGTCGACTGTGTCACGGCCCTCTTGTTTGGTCGACTGTGTCTCGACTCTCTTGTTTGGTCGACTGTGTCTCGGCTCTCTTGTTTTGTCGACGGTGTCTCGACCCTCTTGTTTTGTCGACTGTGTCTCGGCCCTCTTATTTGGTCGACTGTGTCTCGGCCCTCTTGTTTGGTCGACTGTGTCTCGACCCTCTTGTTTTGTCGACTGTGTCTCGACCCTCTTGTTTTGTCGACTGTGTCTCGGCCCTCTTATTTGGTCGACTGTGTCACGGCCCTCTTGTGTGGTCGACTGTGTCACGGCCCTCTTGTTTGGTCGACTGTGTCTCGACCCTCTTGTTTGGTCGACTGTGTCTCGACCCTCTTGTGTGGTCGACTGTGTCACGGCCCTCTTGTTTGGTCGACTGTGTCTCGACCCTCTTGTTTGGTCGACTATGTCTCGACCCTCTTGTTTGGTCGACTGTGTCTCGACCCTCTTGTTTGGTCGACTGTGTCTCGACCCTCTTGTGTGGTCGACTGTGTCACGGCCCTCTTGTTTGGTCGACTGTGTCACGGCCCTCTTGTTTGGTCGACGGTGTCACGGCCCTCTTGTTTGGTCGACTGTGTCACGGCCCTCTTGTTTGGTCGACTGTGTCACGGCCCTCTTGTTTGGTCGGCGGTGTCTCGACCCTCTTGTTTGGTCGACTGTGTCTCGACCCTCTTGTTTGGTCGACTGTGTCTCGACCCTCTTGTTTGGTCGACTGTGTCTCGACCCTCTTGTGTGGTCGACTGTGTCACGGCCCTCTTGTGTGGTCGACTGTGTCACGGCCCTCTTGTTTGGTCGACGGTGTCTCGACCCTCTTGTTTGGTCGACTGTGTCTCGACCCTCTTGTTTGGTCGACTGTGTCTCGACCCTCTTGTTTGGTCGACTGTGTCTCGACCCTCTTGTTTGGTCGACTGTGTCTCGACCCTCTTGTTTGGTCGACTGTGTCTCGACCCTCTTGTTTGGTCGACTGTGTCTCGACCCTCTTGTTTGGTCGACTGTGTCTCGGCCCTCTTGTTTGTACTTATTTTACACGTGGTGTATCTATTTATACACGTGGTATATCTATTTATACACGTGGTTTATCTATTTATACACGTGGTATATCTATTTATACACGTGGTGTATCTATTTAGACACGTGGTGTATCTATTTATAACACCTTCAACAGAATTTCATTACCACAGCTCTGAGTGAAGGAAACTGCGCACGACGCTACTCTGAGGATGCTGGCAGTAAGTTGAGTGCAAAGTGCGCTGGAGAGTCTCAGTAGAGTTCCGGGAGCAATCAATGTTAATTTGGGCGAATTAGCTATGAAACACGTCCGTTTAGAGCAGCCTGGAGCCCTTTGTCAGCAGACTTACAGATGGCTAAACCACCACCACACGAGCACAGATGGCTTAGCCAATGGCTGACACGTGGACTATGTGACACGAGTGCCTCTGCCTCCTGGCTTGGGAGGCGTCGAGTGCCTCCTGGCATGGGAGGCGTCGAGTGCGACCTGGCTTGGGAGGCGTCGAGTGCCTCCTGGCTTGGGAGGCGTCGAGTGCCTCCTGGCTTGGGAGGCGTCGAGTGCCTCCTGGCTTGGGAGGCGTCGAGTGCCTCCTGGCTTGGGAGGCGTCGAGTGCCTCCTGGCTTGAGGGCGTCGAGTGCCTCCTGGCTTGGGAGCGTCGAGTGCCTCCTGGCTTGGGGGCGACTTGTGCTTCCTGCCTTGGGGGCGTCAAGTGTGTCCTGGCTTGGGAGGCGTCGAGTGCCTCCTGGCTTGGAGGTGTCGAGTGCCTCCTGGCTTGGGGTCGTCGAGTGCCTCCTGACTTGGGAGGCGTCGAGTGCATCCTGGCTTGGAGGCGTCGAGTGCCTCCTGGCTTGGGAGCGTCCAGTGCCTCCTGGCTTGGGAGCGACGAGTGCCTCCTGGCTTGGGGGCGTCGAGTGCCTCCCGGCTTGGGTTCGTCGAGTGCCTCCTGGCTTGGGAGCGTCGAGTGCCTCCTGGCTTGGGGGCGTCGAGTGCCTCCCGGCTTGGGCTCGTCGAGTGCCTCCTGGCTTGGGGGCGTCGAGTGCCTCCCGGCTTGGGCTCGTCGAGTGCCTCCTGGCTTGGGGGCGTCGAGTGCCTCCCGGCTTGGGCTCGTCGCGTGCCTCCTGGCTTGGGGGCGTCGAGTGCCTCCTGGCTTGGGCTCGTCGAGTGCCTCCTGGCTTGGGGGCGTCGAGTGCCTCCCGGTGTGGGAACCGACCTGTGAGATTTATATTTATTTAATTTATATGAATTTATATTTACGTTAATTTATATACTTCGATAGCAATTTGTATAATGATAAGTGGACTGTATTTCTGCAATAATCTCTTAATCTCACAAATCGATCCTCTACACATTAGGGGGGGTTAAATTAATATATATGCAGCCAATCAAACTACAGTAATAGCTACATACATTGATGAGGTTCCTTCTCTTATAGTACAGCAGGTTAGTCCACCAGGTATAACTAGAGTGTAGACACCAAATTATCCTCTTTGAGGTAGCTTCTATCACCCAGTAACTGGTGCACATAATCTTGCATCCTCGTCTTGACCTGTCAAAAGTGCGCTAGCTGTGAAGCCAGAATCCTATATATGACAAGCTATATCAGAGAAAACACTATACAGTACATGGAACATTAAAGACCTGGCTTAATTACCTTTAGTATGAGGCGATTTCGCGTTCTAACCGGCTAACCCTATATCCTGACATTAATGGCCATAAATGAATGATAAACGGGTTTCGGATAGACACTTAACTTGTATTTGTAGACAGCGTGTTGACAATGGTACACCTTTGGGTTCCATAACACTACGTCCAAGTAAATTTAACAGGAGCCGAATTTGCTCCCGTGTGAGCCTCTGGTCTCATAACAACAATGGCTGCCCTCCTTCCCCACTCTGACGCCTGGCTTACATTGTCCACATTTCAGAAAGTGATAGAAGGGTCACATTTACTCTACTTTAATATTGATAATTAAGTTAATTTATATAAGATGTTTTTATGATGGTAAAGTCCAAAGACTAATGTATTTAAGAATAATTCCCAGCAAAATAGCTGGTGAATTATAATAGTATGTGGTGATGATATCCCGTTTTCTATAGACGGTAATTCCACTACAAGTTACGTTTTCTATGGGTAACTTGTTGGTAATACAGCAGCACTTATTATCTGTCTGTATGATATTAAATGGTGTCGGATTTTCCGACACCCGGCTTGGGCTCGTCGAGTGCCTCCTGGCTCCTCCCGCACTCCAAGCCTGTAGAGTGCTCACAATGACTGTTGAGTGGTATTGGTGCCTTGGCTATTGCTGCCTTGGGTACTGCTGCCTTGGCTATTGCTGCCTTGGGTATTGGTGCCTTGGCTATTGCTGCCTTGGGTACTGCTGCCTTGGGTATTGGTGCCTTGGGTATTGGTGCCTTGGGTATTGCTGATTTGGGTATTGGTGCCTTGGGTATTGGTGCCTTGGGTATTGGTGCCTTGGCTATTGCTGCCTTGGGTATTGGTGCCTTGGGTACTGCTGCCTTGGGTATTGCTGCCTTGGGTATTGGTGCCTTGGGTATTGGTGCCTTGGGTACTGCTGCCTTGGGTATTGGTGCCTTGGGTATTGGTGCCTTGGGTACTGCTGCCTTGGGTATTGGTGCCTTGGGTATTGGTGCCTTGGGTATTGCTGATTTGGGTATTGGTGCCTTGGGTATTGGTGTCTTGGGTATTGGTGCCTTGGGTATTGCTGCCTTGGGTATTAGTGCCTTGGGTACTGCTGCCTTGGGTATTGCTGCCTTGGGTATTGGTGCCTTGGGTATTGGTGCCTTGGGTATTGGTGCCTTGGGTATTGGTGCCTTGGGTATTGGTGTCTTGGGTACTGCTGCCTTGGGTATTGGTGCCTTGGGTATTGGTGCCTTGGGTATTGGTGCCTTGGGTACTGCTGCCTTGGGTATTGGTGCCTTGGGTATTGGTGCCTTGGGTACTGCTGCCTTGGGTATTGGTGCCTTGGGTATTGGTGCCTTGGGTACTGCTGCCTTGGGTATTGCTGCCTTGGGTATTGCTGCCTTGGGTATTGGTGCCTTGGGTACTGCTGCCTTGGGTATTGGTGCCTTGGGTATTGGTGCCTTGGGTATTGGTGCCTTGGGTATTGGTGCCTTGGGTATTGGTGCCTTGGGTATTGGTGCCTTGGGTATTGGTGCTTTGGGTATTGGTGCCTTGGGTATTGTTGCCTTGGGTATTGGTGCCTTGGGTATTGCTGCCTTGGGTATTGGTGCCTTGGGTATAGCAGCCTTGGGTACTGGAGCCACATCAGTTGCCTTAAGGCCTCTAGTGTCCCCGTGTGCCAGCTGGTCTCGTCACTGGGCTCAACACTCGTGCCACTTAACACACTGGGCTCAACACTTGTGCCACTTAACACACTGGGCTCATCACTCGTGCGACTTAACACACTGGGCTCAACACTCGTGCGACTTAACACACACTGGGCTCAACACTCGTGCGACTTAACACACTGGGCTCAACACTTGTGCCACTTAACACACTGGGCTCAACACTCGTGCCACTTAACACACCGGGCTCAACACTCGTGCCTCGTAACACACTGGGCTCAACACTCGTGCCACGTAACACACTGGGCTCAACACTCGTGCCTCGTAACACACTGGGCTCAACACTCGTGCCACGTAACACACTGGGCTCAACACTCGTGCCACGTAACACACTGGGCTCAACACTCGTGCCACTTAACACACTGGGCTCAACACTCGTGCCACGTAGCACACTGGGCTCAACACTCGTGCCACTTAACACACTGGGCTCAACACTCGTGCCACGTAACACACTGGGCTCAACACTCGTGCCTCGTAACACACTGGGCTCAACACTCGTGCCTCGTAACACACTGGGCTCAACACTCGTGCCACGTAACACACTGGGCTCAACACTCGTGCCACGTAGCACACTGGGCTCAACACTCGTGCCACTTAACACACTGGGCTCAACACTCGTGCCACGTAACACACTGGGCTCAACACTCGTGCCTCGTAACACACTGGGCTCAACACTCGTGCCTCGTAACACACTGGGCTCAACACTCGTGCCACGTAACACACTGGGCTCAACACTCGTGCCACTTAACACACTGGGCTCAACACTCGTGCCTCGTAACACACTGGGCTCAACACTCGGCCTCGGGTCCAGGGATTTGGATATCATTCAAAATGAACAAATACACAAGGGCTTTGACGATGGTTCGAACCTATGCGCTAATTGTTCCCAGACGCGTTCTTGTCCACTGAGCCACGACGTGGACGAGATCTGCAGCCTGGAGTGCTACTGCTCCCCCGAGGGTCCCGCGAGGGACCACTCACGCCTAACTGGGGTTCACACAGTTCCTCCGTGCACTCGGACGCCGTCAACTAACAGTTCGACCCCTGGCGCACCTTGTTCAGTTGCCAGCGCGTCGGGGATACTCAGCGCTCGGGTTCGAGCCCCCATGGACTATATATCTGCGGTCGAGAAGGATTCTTTAGGCTTCTGTTCCATTTCTGCGGACGGTAGAGCGACGGTCTCGCTTCATGCAGGCCGGCGTTCAATCCCCGACCGTCCACAAGTGGTTAGGCACCATTAATCCCAAATTCTTATCCTGACGCCCTTCCAGTGCTGTATAGTCATATAGTGCAGGTGGTGTATACCAGTGTAGGTGGAGTATACCAGTGTAGGTGGAGTATACCAGTGTAGGTGGAGTATACCAGTGTAGGTGGAGTATACCAGTGTAGGTGGAGTATACCAGTGTAGGTGGAGTATACCAGAGTATGTGGAGGTGTAGGTGGTGTATACCAGAGTATGTGGAGGTGCAGGTGGTGTATACCAGTGTATGTGGAGGTGTAGGTGGTGTATACCCGTGTATGTGGAGGTGTAGGTGGTGTATACCCGTGTATGTGGAGGTGTAGGTGGTCTATACCAGAGTATGTGGAGGTGCAGGTGGTGTATACCAGTGTATGTGGAGATGTAGGTGGTGTATACCAGTGTATGTGGAGGTGCAGGTGGTGTATACCAGTGTATGTGGAGATGTAGGTGGTGTATACCAGTGTATGTGGAGGTGTAGGTGGTGTATACCAGTGTATGTGGAGGTGTAGGTGGTGTATACCAGTGTATGTGGAGGTGTAGGTGGTGTATACCAGTGTATGTGGAGGTGTAGGTGGTGTATACCAGTGTATGTGGAGGTGTAGGTGGTGTATACCAGTGTATGTGGAGGTGTAGGTGGTGTATACCAGTGTATGTGGAGGTGTAGGTGGTGTATACCAGTGTATGTGGAGGTGTAGGTGGTGTATACCAGTGTATGTGGAGGTGTAGGTGGTGTATACCAGTGTATGTAGAGGTGTAGGTGGTGTATACCAGTGTATGTGGAGGTGTAGGTGGTGTATACCAGTGTATGTGGAGGTGTAGGTGGTGTATACCAGTGTATGTGGAGGTGTAGGTGGTGTATACCAGTGTATGTGGAGGTGTAGGTGGTGTATACCAGTGTATGTGGAGGTGTAGGTGGTGTATACCAGTGTATGTGGAGGTGTAGGTGGTGTATACCAGTGTAGGTGGTGTATACCAGTGTATGTGGAGGTGCAGGTGGTGTATACCAGTGTATGTGGAGGTGAAGATAGTGTTGGACTGCGCTAGGACTGTCCCGGGTGCTGCTAGGACTGTCACTGGTGCTGCTAGGACTGTCCCTGGTGCTGCTAGGACTGTCCCGGGTGCTGCTAGGACTGTCACTGGTGCTGCTAGGACTGTCCCTGGTGCTGCTAGGACTGTCCCTGGTGCTGCTAGGACTGTCCCTGGTGCTGCTAAGACTGTCCCTGGAGCTGCTAGGACTGTCCCTGGTGCCGCTAGGACTGTCCCTGGTGCTGCTAGGACTATCCCTGGTGCTGCTAGGACTATCCCTGGTGCTGCTAGGACTATCCTTGGTGCTGCTAGGACTGTCCCTGGTGCTGCTAGGACTAGACTGTCCCTGGTGCTGCTAAGACTGTCCCTGGTACTGCTAGGACTGTCCCTGGTGCTGCTAGGACTGTCCCTGGTGCTGCTAGGACTGTCCCTGGTGCTGCTAGGACTGTCCCTGGTGCTGCTAAGACTGTCCCTGGAGCTGCTAGGACTATCCCTGGTGCTGCTAGGACTATCCTTGGTGCTGCTAGGACTGTCCCTGGTGCTGCTAGGACTAGACTGTCCCTGGTGCTGCTAAGACTGTCCCTGGTACTGCTAGGACTGTCCCTGGTGCTGCTAAGACTGTCCCTGGAGCTCCTAGGACTGTCCCTGGTGCTGCTAGGACTGTCCCTGGTGCTGCTAGGACTATCCCTGGTGCTGCTAGGACTATCCTTGGTGCTGCTAGGACTGTCCCTGGTGCTGCTAGGACTGTCCCTGGTGCTGCTAGGACTGTCCCTGGTGCTGCTAGGACTGACCCTGGTGCTGCTAGGACTGACCCTGGTGCTGCTAGGACTGTCCCTGGTGCTGCTAGGACTGTCCCTGGTGCTGCTAGGACTGTCCCTGGTGCTGTTAGGACTGTCCCTGGTGCTGCTAGGACTGTCCCTGGTGCTGCTAGGACTGACCCTGGTGCTGCTAGGAATGTCCCTGGTGGTGCTAGGACTGTCCCTGGTGCTGCTAGGACTGTCCCTGGTGCTGCTAGGACTGTCCCTGGTGCTGCTAGGACTGTCCCTGGTGCTGCTAGGACTGTCACTAGTGCTGCTAGGACAGTCCTCTGGTGCTGCTAGGACTGTCCCTGGTGCTGCTAGGACTGTCATTGGTGCAGCTAGGACTGTCCCTGGTGCTGCTAGGACTGTCCCTGGTGCTGCTAGGACTGTCCCTGGTGCTGCTGGGGGCTAGGACTGTCCCTGGTGCTGCTAGGACTGTCCCTGGTGCTGCTAGGACTGTCCTGGTGCTGCTAGGGGCACTGTGTCCCTGGTGCTGCTAGGACTGTACTGTCCCTGGTGCTGCTAGGACTGTCCCTGGCTGCTGGGGCTAGGACTGTCCCTGGTGCTGCTAGGACTACTCCCTGGTGCTGCTAGGACTGTCCCTGGTGCTGCTAGGACTGTCCCTGGTGCTGCTGGGGGCACTCCCTGGTGCTGCTAGGACTACTACTGTCCCTGGTGGTGCTGCTAGGACTGTCCCTGGTGCTGCTAGGACTGACTACTGTCCCTGGTGCTGCTAGGACTGTCCCTGGTGCTGCTGGGGCTGCTAGGACTGTCCCTGGTGCTGCTAGGACTGTCCCTGGTGCAGCTAGGACTGTCCTTGGTGCTGCTAGGACTGTCCCCTGGTGCTGCTAGGACTGTCCCTGGTGCTGCTAGGACTGTCCCTGGTGCTGCTAGGACTGTCCCTGGTGCTGCTAGGACTGTCCCTGGTGCTGCTAGGACTGTCCCTGGTGCTGCTAGGACTGTCCCTGGTGCTGCTGGTGTCTGGTGCTGCTGGGACTGTCCCTGGTGCTGCTGGGGGGACTGCTGTCCCTGGTGCTGCTAGGACTGTCACTGGTGCTGCTAGGACTGTCCCTGGTGCTGCTAGGACTGTCCCTGGTGCTGCTAGGGGCACTACTGTCCCTGGTGCTGCTGGGCTAGGACTGTCCCTGGTGCTGCTAGGACTGTCCCTGGTGCTGCTAGGACTACTCCCCTGGTGCTGCTAGGACTGTCCCTGGTGCTGCTAGGACTGTCCCTGGTGCTGCTAGAACTGTCCCTGGTGCTGCTAGGACTGTCCCTGGTGCTGCTAGGACTGTCCCTGGTGCTGCTAGGACTGTCCCTGGTGCTGCTAGGACTGTCCCTGGTGCTGCTAGGACTGTCCCTGGTGCTGCTAAGACTACTGTCCCTGGTGCTGCTAGGACTGTCCCTGGTGCTGCTAGGGGCACTACTGTCCCTGGTGCTGCTAGGACTGTCCCTGGTGCTGCTAGGACTGTCCCTGGTGCTGCTAGGACTGTCCCTGGTGCTGCTAGGACTGTCCCTGGTGCTGCTAGGACTGTCCCTGGTGCTGCTAGGACTGTCCCTGGTGCTGCTAGGACCTGTCCCTGGTGCTGCTAGGACTGTCCCTGGTGCTGCTAGGACTGTCCCTGGTGCTGCTAAGACTGTCCCTGGTGCTGCTAGGACTGTCCCTGGTGCTGCTAGGACTGTCCCTGGTGCTGCTAGGACTGTCCCTGGTGCTGCTAGGACTGTCCCTGGTGCTGCTAGGACTGTCCCTGGTGCTGCTAGGACTGTCCCTGGTGCTGCTAGGACTGTCCCTGGTGCTGCTAGGACTGTCCCTGGTGCTGCTAGGACTACTGTCCCTGGTGCTGCTAGGACTGTCCCTGGTGCTGCTAGGACTGTCCCTGGTGCTGCTAGGACTGTCCCTGGTGCTGCTAGGACTGTCCCTGGTGCTGCTAGGACTACTGTCCCTGGTGCTGCTAGGACTGTCCCTGGTGCTGCTAAGACTGTCCCTGGTGCTGCTAGGACTGTCCCTGGTGCTGCTAGGACTGTCCCTGGTGCTGCTAGGACTGTCCCTGGTGCTGCTGGGACTACTGTCCCTGGTGCTGCTAGGACTGTCCCTGGTGCTGCTAGGACTGTCCCTGGTGCTGCTAGGACTGTCCCTGGTGCTGCTAGGACTGTCCCTGGTGCTGCTGGGGGCAGGACTGTCCCTGGTGCTGCTAGGGGCACTACTGTCCCTGGTGCTGCTAGGACTGTCCCTGGTGCTGCTGGGGGCAGTCCCTGGTGCTGCACTACTGTCCCTGGTGCTGCTGGGGGCACTACTGTCCCTGGTGCTGCTGGGGGCACTACTGTCCCTGGTGCTGCTGGGGGCACTACTGTCCCTGGTGCTGCTGGGGGCACTACTGTCCCTGGTGCTGCTGGGGGCACTACTGTCCCTGGTGCTGCTGGGGGCACTACTGTCCCTGGTGCTGCTGGGGGCACTACTGTCCCTGGTGCTGCTGGGGGCACTACTGTCCCTGGTGCTGCTGGGGGCACTACTGTCCCTGGTGCTGCTGGGGGCACTACTGTCCCTGGTGCTGCTGGGGGCACTACTGTCCCTGGTGCTGCTGGGGGCACTACTGTCCCTGGTGCTGCTGGGGGCACTACTGTCCCTGGTGCTGCTGGGGGCACTACTGTCCCTGGTGCTGCTGGGGGCACTACTGTCCCTGGTGCTGCTGGGGGCACTGTCCCTGGTGCTGCTGGGGGCACTACTGTCCCTGGTGCTGCTGGGGGCACTACTGGGTGCTACTAGGACTGTGCACGCGTGGAGGGGGGGGGGAGCCAGCCTGACAACCGTCCTGGCTTAACAAGGTGATTCCTGGGATGCAGCTCAAGTGGAAACCTCTCTGTATTTTCCTGGAAAATGTGCGTCTCATTTGCATGCAAGAGAAGACTCCGCTGATGACTGCGTCGCTCTTCCTGCTCTGTCTGCTCGCTTCTTGCGCTCTAAAGTATCGCTCTATACTCACATACACATATTCATACATATATATTAGTATGTGGATAAACCACATATGAAAAATTAAAGAATGCGGGACGCGTTTTCGGCTTAATTCGCCTTCATCAGAGCTAGATGGAGAGTTTGTTGTGATCGGTGTTGCATATATTAGTATGTTTAGGCAGTCTTGCAGACACGGTATTATGACTCACAGGGTGAGATCAGTGCATCAAGCACGAGTCTCCTACATATTTATTATGGGTTTTCTTCACTTAAGAAGGAAGTATGAAACATAACTCTCCCAGGTTTATTTTGTCCCTATATATCACTTGACGCTTAGAGATGCGTCTCGCTGAGCGTGTCAACATGTTCAGAGGTTGAGGTGAAGCATGCTCCGGCCCCGGCATGTATGTAGACAAGAGATGTGAGGTGACTTATACCTTCACTCCAAACAAACAAACAAACAATAACACTTACGGGTTATTCATGCCCGTGCCACCTCTTGGGTGGATTAATCGTCATCAATCAATCAATCGAGGTGACTCACGACGCTTGGGCCAGTAGGCTTCCTGGACTTGCGTAATTCTTGTGTTGATTGTTGGGTGATTCAGCTGTTGAATATTGTGTCTTGGTCATGGTGGCCTGGTGGATAGCGCGCAGGGCTCGTAATTCTGTGGCGCGGGTTCGATTCCCGCACGAGGCAGAAACAAATGGGCAAAGTTTCTTTCACCCTGAATGCCCCTGTTACCTAGCAGTAAATAGGTACCTGGGTGTTAGTCAGCTGTCACGGGCTGCTTCCTGGGGGTGGAGGCCTGGTCGAGGACCGGGCCGCGGGGACACTAAAGCCCCGAAATCATCTCAAGATAACCTCAAGATGGTGATGATGATAAAAGGTACTGAACTGGCTGTTAAGAACTGGCTCAGTGTTTGACGTGTCGTGTTTTGTCGGTGTCTAATATTCTGATGTCATTATATTTGTCATTATGTTCTCTGAGGGAGTCTTGTTTGTGCAATGTCAGGCAACTGGATAATATATATTTTTGTCTTGCCTATATACTGAAATCCTCGTGGCTGACAGTCCCCAAGAGGACGCGGGAAGGCTGTCGTCTCTCGTGAAGTTTTGGTTGTTGTCTGAAGAGTTCTTGATGAGCAAGATGGCGGTGTTCATGTACTGGTGGAGGTAGTTTGTCGTCCCTGATGGTTCATGGCGGTAGTTTGTCGTCCCTGATGGTTCATGGCGGTAGTTTGTCGTCCCTGATGGTTCATGGTGGTAGTTTGTCGTCCCTGATGGTTCATGGCGGTAGTTTGTCGTCCCTGATGGTTCATGGTGGTAGTTTGTCGTCTCTGATGGTTAATAGCGGTAGTTTGTCGTCCCTGATGGTTCATGGTGGTAGTTTGTCGTCCCTGATGGTTCATGGCAGTAGTTTGTCGTCCCTGGTGGTTCATGGCGGTAGTTTGTCGTCCCTGGTGGTTCATGGTGGTAGTTTGTCGTCCCTGGTGGTTCATGGTGGTAGTTTGTCGTCCCTGGTGGTTCATGGTGGTAGTTTGTCGTCCCTGGTGGTTCATGGTGGTAGTTTGTCGTCCCTGGTGGTTCATGGTGGTAGTTTGTCGTCCCTGGTGGTTCATGGAGGTAGTTTGTCGTCTCTGGTGGTTCATGGTGGTAGTTTGTCGTCCCTGGTGGTTCATGGTGGTAGTTTGTCGTCCCTGGTGGTTCATGGTGGTAGTTTGTCGTCCCTGGTGGTTCATGGTGGTAGTTTGTCGTCCCTGGTGGTTCATGGTGGTAGTTTGTCGTCCCTGGTGGTTCATGGTGGTAGTTTGTCGTCCCTGGTGGTTCATGGTGGTAGTTTGTCGTCCCTGGTGGTTCATGGTGGTAGTTTGTCGTCCCTGGTGGTTCATGGTGGTAGTTTGTCGTCCCTGGTGGTTCATGGTGGTAGTTTGTCGTCCCTGGTGGTTCATGGTGGTAGTTTGTCGTCCCTGGTGGTTCATGGTGGTAGTTTGTCGTCCCTGGTGGTTCATGGTGGTAGTTTGTCGTCCCTGGTGGTTCATGGTGGTAGTTTGTCGTCCCTGGTGGTTCATGGTGGTAGTTTGTCGTCCCTGGTGGTTCATGGTGGTAGTTTGTCGTCCCTGGTGGTTCATGGAGGTAGTTTGTCGTCTCTGGTGGTTCATGGTGGTAGTTTGTCGTCCCTGGTGGTTCATGGTGGTAGTTTGTCGTCCCTGGTGGTTCATGGTGGTAGTTTGTCGTCCCTGGTGGTTCATGGTGGTAGTTTGTCGTCCCTGGTGGTTCATGGTGGTAGTTTGTCGTCTCTGGTGGTTCATGGTGGTAGTTTGTCGTCCCTGATGGTTCATGGCGGTAGTTTGTCGTCCCTGATGGGTCACGGTGGTAGTTTGTCGTCCCTGATGGTTCATGGCGGTAGTTTGTCGTCCCTGATGGTTCATGGTGGTAGTTTGTCGTCCCAGGTGGTTCATGGTGGTAGTTTGTCGTCCCTGATGGTTCATGGTGGTAGTTTGTCGTCCCTGATGGTTCATGGTGGTAGTTTGTCGTCCCAGGTGGTTCATGGTGGTAGTTTGTCGTCCCTGATGGTTCATGGCGGTAGTTTGTCGTCCCAGGTGGTTCATGGTGGTAGTTTGTCGTCCCTGATGGTTCATGGTGGTAGTTTGTCGTCCCTGATGGTTCATGGTGGTAGTTTGTCGTCCCAGGTGGTTCATGGTGGTAGTTTGTCGTCTCTGGTGGTTCATGGCGGTAGTTTGTCGTCCCTGATGGTTCATGGCGGTAGTTTGTCGTCCCTGATGGTTCATGGTGGTAGTTTGTCGTCTCTGGTGGTTCATGGCGGTAGTTTGTCGTCTCTGGTGGTTCATGGTGGTAGTTTGTCGTCCCTGATGGTTCATGGTGGTAGTTTAATTTGTCGTCCCTGATGGTTCATGGAGGTAGTTTGTCGTCTCTGATGGTTCATGGTGGTAGTTTGTCGTCCCTGGTGGTTCATGGTGGTAGTTTGTCGTCCCTGATGGTTCATGGCGGTAGTTTGTCGTCTCTGATGGTTCATGGTGGTAGTTTGTCGTCCCTGATGGTTCATGGTGGTAGTTTGTCGTCTCTGATGGTTCATGGTGGTAGTTTGTCGTCCCTGATGGTTCATGGTGGTAGTTTGTCGTCCCTGATGGTTCATGGTGGTAGTTTGTCGTCCCTGATGGTTCATGGCGGTAGTTTGTCGTCCCTGATGGTTCATGGCGGTAGTTTGTCGTCCCTGATGGTTCATGGTGGTAGTTTGTCGTCCCTGATGGTTCATGGCGGTAGTTTGTCGTCCCTGATGGTTCATGGCGGTAGTTTGTCGTCCCTGATGGTTCATGGTGGTAGTTTGTCGTCTCTGGTGGTTCATGGCGGTAGTTTGTCGTCTCTGGTGGTTCATGGTGGTAGTTTGTCGTCTCTGATGGTTCATGGTGGTAGTTTGTCGTCCCTGATGGTTCATGGCGGTAGTTTGTCGTCTCTGATGGTTCATGGTGGTAGTTTGTCGTCCCTGATGGTTCATGGCGGTAGTTTGTCGTCTCTGATGGTTCATGGTGGTAGTTTGTCGTCCCTGATGGTTCATGGTGGTAGTTTGTCGTCCCTGATGGTTCATGGCGGTAGTTTGTCGTCCCTGGTGGTTCATGGCGGTAGTTTGTCATCTCTGATGGTTCATGGTGGTAGTTTGTCGTCCCTGATGGTTCATGGTGGTAGTTTGTCGTCCCTGATGGTTCATGGCGGTAGTTTGTCGTCCCTGATGGTTCATGGAGGTAGTTTGTCGTCTCTGATGGTTCATGGTGGTAGTTTGTCGTCCCTGATGGTTCATGGTGGTAGTTTGTCGTCCCTGATGGTTCATGGCGGTAGTTTGTCGTCTCTGATGGTTCATGGTGGTAGTTTGTCGTCCCTGATGGTTCATGGCGGTAGTTTGTCGTCCCTGATGGTTCATGGCGGTAGTTTGTCGTCCCTGATGGTTCATGGTGGTAGTTTGTCGTCCCTGATGGTTCATGGCGGTAGTTTGTCGTCCCTGATGGTTCATGGTGGTAGTTTGTCGTCCCTGGTGGTTCGTGAATAGCGCGTGAATAAACAACACGAAAGTGAGAGTACAGACAATTTATTTGTTAATACACATAGCAAGAATAATAATAATAATAATAATAATAATAATAATAATAATAATAATAATAATAATAAGACACACAGAAATCACAATAACGTTATATATCAAATGAACAGTCCATGGGGGCTCGAACCCGAGCGCTGAGTATCCCCGACGCGCTGGCAACTGAACAAGGTGCGCCAGGGGTCGAACTGTTAGCTTGACGGCGTCCGAGTGCACGGAGGAACTGTGTGAACCCCAGTTAGGCGTGAGTGGTGCCCCCGGGACCCTCGGGGGAGCAGTAGCACTCCAGGCTGCTGATCTCGTCCACGTCGTGGCTCAGTGGACAAGAACGCGTCTGGGAACACTTAGCGCACAGGTTCGAACCATCGTCAAAGCCCTTGTGTATTTGTTCATTTTGAATGATATCCAAATCCCTGGACCCGAGGCCGAGTGTTGAGCCCAGTGTGTTACGTGGCACGAGTGTTGAGCCCAGTGTGTTAAGTGGCACGAGTGTTGAGCCCAGTGTGTTAAGTGGCACGAGTGTTGAGCCCAGTGTGTTAAGTGGCACGAGTGTTGAGCCCAGTGTGTTAAGTGGCACGAGTGTTGAGCCCAGTGTGTTAAGTGGCACGAGTGTTGAGCCCAGTGTGTTAAGTCGCACGAGTGTTGAGCCCAGTGTTTTAAGTGGCACGAGTGTTGAGCCCAGTGTGTTAAGTGGCACGAGTGTTGAGCCCAGTGAGTTACGTGGCACGAGTGTTGAGCCCAGTGTGTTACGTGGCACGAGTGTTGAGCCCAGTGTGTTACGTGGCACGAGTGTTGAGCCCAGTGTGTTAAGTGGCACGAGTGTTGAGCCCAGTGTGTTAAGTGGCACGAGTGTTGAGCCCAGTGTGTTAAGTGGCACGAGTGTTGAGCCCAGTGTGTTAAGTGGCACGAGTGTTGAGCCCAGTGTGTTAAGTGGCACGAGTGTTGAGCCCAGTGTGTTAAGTGGCACGAGTGTTGAGCCCAGTGTGTTAAGTGGCACGAGTGTTGAGCCCAGTGTGTTAAGTGGCACGAGTGTTGAGCCCAGTGTGTTAAGTGGCACGAGTGTTGATCCCAGTGACGAGACCAGCTGGCACACGGGGACACTAGAGGCCTTAAGGCAACTGATGTGGCTCCAGTACCCAAGGCTGCTATACCCAAGGCACCAATACCCAAGGCACCAATACCCAAGGCACCAATACCCAAGGCAACAGTACCCAAGGCACCAATACCCAAGGCACCAATACCCAAGGCAACAGTACCCAAGGCACCAATACCCAAGGCACCAATATCCAAGGCAGCAATACCCAAGGCAGCAATACCCAAGGCACCAATACCCAAGGCACCAATACCCAAGGCAACAGTACCCAAGGCACCAATACCCAAGGCACCAATACCCAAGGCAACAGTACCCAAGGCACCAATACCCAAGGCACAAATACCCAAGGCAACAGTACCCAAGGCACCAATACCCAAGGCACCAATACCCAAGGCAACAGTACCCAAGGCACCAATACCCAAGGCACCAATACCCAAGGCAACAGTACCCAAGGCACCAATACCCAAGGCACCAATACCCAAGGCACCACTACCCAAGGCAACAGTACCCAAGGCACCAATACCCAAGGCACCAATACCCAAGGCTTCAATACCCAAGGCGCCAATACCCAAGGCAGCAATACCCAAGGCACCAATACCCAAGGTAACAGTACCCAAAGCACCAATACCCAAAGCACCAATACCCAAGGCACCAATACCCAAGGCACCAATACCCAAGGCTTCAATACCCAAGGCACCAATACCCAAGGCACCAATACCCAAGGCAGCAATACCCAAGGCACCAATACCCAAGGCACCAATACCCAAGGCAACAGTACCCAAGGCAGCAATACCCAAGACAGCAATACCCAAGGCACCAATACCCAAGACAGCAATACCCAAGGCACCAATACCCAAGGCAGCAATACCCAAGGCACCAATACCCAAGACAGCAATACCCAAGGCAGCAATACCCAAGGCAACAGTACCCAAGGCAGCAATACCCAAGACAGCAATACCCAAGGCACCAATATCCAAGGCAACAATACCCAAGGCAGCAATACCCAAGGCAGCAATACTCAAGGCAACAGTACCCAAGGCAGCAATACCCAAGGCACCAATACCCAAGGCAGCAATACCCAAGGCACCAATACCCAAGACAGCAATACCCAAGACAGCAATACCCAAGGCAACAATACCCAAGGCAGCAATACCCAAGGCACCAATACCCAAGGCAGCAATACCCAAGGCAGCAATACCCAAGGCACCAATACCCAAGGCAGCAATACCCAAGGCAGCAATATCCAAGGCACCAATACCCAAGGCAGCAATACCCAAGGCAGCAATATCCAAGGCACCAATACCCAAGGCAGCAATACCCAAGGCTTCAATACCCAAGGCACCAATATCCAAGGCAACAATACCCAAGGCAGCAATACCCAAGGCAGCAATACCCAAGGCAACAGTACCCAAGGCAGCAATACCCAAGGCACCAATACCCAAGGCAGCAATACCCAAGGCACCAATACCCAAGACAGCAATACCCAAGACAGCAATACCCAAGGCAACAATACCCAAGGCAGCAATACCCAAGGCACCAATACCCAAGGCAGCAATACCCAAGGCAGCAATACCCAAGGCACCAATACCCAAGGCAGCAATACCCAAGGCACCAATACCCAAGGCACCAATACCCAAGGCAGCAATACCCAAGGCACCAATACCCAAGGCACCAATACCCAAGGCACCAATACCCAAGGCAACAATACCCAAGGCAGCAATACCCAAGGCACCAATAACCAAGGCACCAATACCCAAGGCAGCAATACCCAAGGCTTCAATACCCAAGGCACCAATACCCAAGGCACCAATTCCCAAGGCAACAATACCCAAGGCAGCAATACCCAAGGCACCAATAACCAAGGCACCAATACCCAAGGCAGCAATACCCAAGGCTTCAATACCCAAGGCAGCAATACCCAAGGCACCAATACCCAAGACAACAAGACCGGATTAACTATCAACACTCTGAGAGAATGCAATATTTGAGTACATATTGTACTCTTGGTGTTAAGAGTGCAACATGTGAGTGCTGGTCGTGTAGTGGCCAGAGAGGAGTCACCAGAATACACGTCTCTCCGTGCACAGCTGTAAGACCTTTGGTCCAAGACCAGAAGTATACATTCCATTCACTTGGGCTGTATGGGTCTCGAACCCTGGACACCACTCGTGTGGGGCAGAAGCTCTACCGACTGGACTATGAGTAGTCTTAAAAGGAAAATTTCTGGAAGCAGCATCCTGATGCTAAACTGGAATTTTTACCAATGGAAGACTACCTTTGTTGGGTGCCTATGGACCGCCTGAGCACCGCCATGGTATTGTAATGGTCACTACGCACTCATCAGCCAATGTGAGCACTCTACAGGCTTGGAGTGCGGGAGAGCCAGGGGGCACTCGACGCCCTCAAGGCAGGAAGCACTCGTCGCCCCCAAGCCAGGAGGTACTCGACGCCCCCAAGCCAGGAGGCACTCGATGCCCCCAAGCCAGGAGGCACTCGACGCCTCCCAAGCCAGGAGGCACTCGACGCCCTCAAGCCAGGAGGCACTCGACGCCTCCCAAGCCAGGAGGCACTCGACGCCCCCAAGACACGAGGCACTCGATGCCCCCAGGCCAGGAGGCACTCGACGCCTCCCAAGCCAGGAGGCACTCGACGCCTCCCAAGCCAGGAGGCACTCGACGCCTCCCAAGCCAGGAGGCACTCGACGCCTCCCAAGCCAGGAGGCACTCGACGCCTCCCAAGCCAGGAGGCACTCGACGCCCCCAAGCCAGGAGGCACTCGATGCCCCCAAGCCAGGAGGCACTCGATGCCCCCAAGCCAGGAGGCACTCGACGCCTCCCAAGCCAGGAGGCACTCGACGCCTCCCAAGCCAGGAGGCACTCGATGCCCCCAGGCCAGGAGGCACTCGACGCCTCCCAAGCCAGGAGGCACTCGACGCCTCCCAAGCCAGGAGGCACTCGACGCCTCCCAAGCCAGGAGGCAGAGGCACTCGACGCCCTCAAGCCAGGAGGCACTCGACGCCTCCCATGCCAGGAGGCACTCGACGCCTCCCATGCCAGGAGGCACTCGACGCCTCCCAAGCCAGGAGGCACTCGTGTCACATAGTCCACGTGTCAGCCATTGGCTAAGCCATCTGTGCTCGTGTGGTGGTGGTTTAGCCATCTGTAAGTCTGCTGACAAAGGGCTCCAGGCTGCTCTAAACGAACGTGTTTCATAGCTAATTCGCCCAAATTAACATTGATTGCTCCCGGAACTCTATTGAGACTCTCCAGCGCACTTTGCACTCAACTTACTGCCAGCATCCTCAGAGTAGCGTCGTGCGCAGTTTCCTTCACTCAAAGCTGTGGTAATGAAATTCTGTTGAAGGTGTTATAAATAGATACACCACGTGTATAAATAGATACACCACGTGTATAAATAGATACACCACGTGTATAAATAGATATACCACGTGTATAAATAGATACACCTCGTGTATAAATAGATACACCACGTGTCTAAATAGATACACCACGTGTATAAATAGATATACCACGTGTATAAATAGATACACCACGTGTATAAATAGATACACCACGTGTATAAATAGATACACCACGTGTATAAATAGATACACCACGTGTAAAATAAGTACAAACAAGAGGGTCGAGACACAGTCGACCAAACAAGAGGGTCGAGACACAGTCGACCAAACAAGAGGGCCGAGACACAGTCGACGAAACAAGAGGGTCAAGACACAGTCGACCAAACAAGAGGGCCGGGACACAGTCGACCAAACAAGAGAGCCGAGACACAGTCGACAAAACAAGAGGGTCGAGACACAGTCGACCAAACAAGAGAGTCAGACACAGTCGACCAAACAAGAGGGCCGTGACACAGTCGACCAAACAAGAGGGCCGTGACACAGTCGACCACACAAGAGGGCCGGGACACAGAGTGCCAACCTACGACTGCTAGTGTGTGTGTATATTTTGAACATCCTTATAGCAAGAGTCACTCTTCACTAAGCCAACGAAGGCTTCCTGTGTATTAGGGCGACGTGGAAAATTACTTTTCGCAAAAATCCGATAAAGTGCCGTTCCTAATCCCCGGGAAATATGCCGAAAGTAAGACTAAAATTTATTTTGGGTGATTGACACCATTTTGGGGGCCGGCAGGCGCTCTGAACGCGCCCACTAGGAGGGGGAGGGAGCCGGATGGCTTAGCCGGCCATAACTTACCAACCACTGCTGCTACAGTCATCAATTATGCCTCAAATTTTGCATAATCTTAATGTTTCTATTGGTCTTATGAGGACATTTTTCTACATTGATGCAAGAAAAATGTTAATGGCCAAAAAAATGGGAATTAACGGCAGTTGTAAATGTGGCCAAAATCACCTTCTGTCGGTACGATATTTAGTATTAATTTATTATTTATTATTATACAAGGAGGTACAAGGGTTGTGAGAGTATACAAGGAGGTACAAGGGGTTGTGAGAGTATACAAGGAGGTACAAGGGTTGTGAGAGTATACAAGGAGGTACAAGGGTTGTGAGAGTATACAAGGAGGTACAAGGGTTGTGAGAGTATACAAGGTGGTACAAGGGGTTGTGAGAGTATACAAGGTGGTACAAGGGGTTGTGAGAGTATACAAGGTGGTACAAGGTGTTGTGAGAGTATACAAGGTGGTACAAGGGGTTGTGAGAGTATACAAGGTGGTACAAGGGGTTGTGAGAGTATACAAGGTGGTACAAGGTGTTGTGAGAGTATACAAGGAGGTACAAGGGTTGTGAGAGTATACAAGGTGGTACAAGGGGTTGTGAGAGTATACAAGGAGGTACAAGGGTTGTGAGAGTATACAAGGAGGTACAAGGGTTGTGAGAGTATACAAGGTGGTACAAGGGTTGTGAGAGTATACAAGGAGGTACAAGGGTTGTGAGAGTATACAAGGTGGTACAAGGGGTTGTGAGAGTATACAAGGTGGTACAAGGGGTTGTGAGAGTATACAAGGTGGTACAAGGTGTTGTGAGAGTATACAAGGTGGTACAAGGGGTTGTGAGAGTATACAAGGAGGCACAAGGGTTGTGAGAGTATACATGGAGGTACAAGGGTTGTGAGAGTATACAAGGTGGTACAAGGGGTTGTGAGAGTATACAAGGTGGTACAAGATGTTGTGAGAGTATGCAAGGTGGTACAAGGGTTGTGAGAGTATACAAGGAGGTACAAGGGGTTGTGAGAGTATACAAGGAGGTACAAGGGTTGTGAGAGTATACAAGGAGGTACAAGGGTTGTGAGAGTATACAAGGAGGTACAAGGGTTGTGAGAGTATACAAGGTGGTACAAGGGTTGTGAGAGTATACAAGGAGGTACAAGGGTTGTGAGAGTATACAAGGTGGTACAAGGGTTGTGAGAGTATACAAGGAGGTACAAGGGTTGTGAGAGTATACAAGGAGGTACAAGGGTTGTGAGAGTATACAAGGTGGTACAAGGGTTGTGAGAGTATACAAGGTGGTACAAGGGTTGTGAGAGTATACAAGGTGGTACAAGGGGTTGTGAGAGTATGCAAGGTGGTACAAGGGTTGTGAGAGTATACAAGGTGGTACAAGGGGTTGTGAGAGTATACAAGGTGGTACAAGGGTTGTGGGAGTATACAAGGTGGTACAAGGTGTTGTGAGAGTATACAAGGTGGTACAAGGTGTTGTGAGAGTATACAAGGAGGTACAAGGTGTTGTGAGAGTATTCAAGGTGGTACAAGGGTTGTGAGAGTATACAAGGTGGTACAAGGGTTGTGAGAGTATACAAGGTGGTACAAGGGGTTGTGGGAGTATACAAGGTAGTACAAGGGTTGTGAGAGCATACAAGGAGGTACAAGGGTTGTGAGAGTATACAAGGTGGTACAAGGGTTGTGAGAGTATACAAGGTGGTACAAGGGTTGTGAGAGTATACAAGGTGGTACAAGGGGTTGTGAGAGTATGCAAGGTGGTACAAGGGTTGTGAGAGTATACAAGGCGGTACAAGGGGTTGTGAGAGTATACAAGGTGGTACAAGGGTTGTGGGAGTATACAAGGTGGTACAAGGTGTTGTGAGAGTATACAAGGTGGTACAAGGTGTTGTGAGAGTATACAAGGAGGTACAAGGTGTTGTGTGAGTATACAAGGAGGTACAAGGGGTTGTGAGAGTATACAAGGAGGTACAAGGTGTTGTGAGAGTATGCAAGGTGGTACAAGGGTTGTGGGAGTATACAAGGAGGTACAAGGTGTTGTGAGAGTATACAAGGTGGTACAAGGGTTGTGAGAGTATACAAGGTGGTACAAGGTGTTGTGTGAGTATACAAGGTGGTACAAGGGTTGTGTGAGTATACAAGGTGGTACAAGGGTTGTGAGAGTATACAAGGAGGTACAAGGGTTGTGAGAGTATACAAGGTGGTACAAGGGTTGTGAGAGTATACAAGGTGGTACAAGGGTTGTTAGAGTATACAAGGTGGTACAAGGGTTGTGAGAGTATACAAGGAGGTACAAGGTGTTGTGAGAGTATACAAGGTGGTACAAGGGTTGTGAGAGTATACAAGGTGGTACAAGGGTTGTGAGAGTATACAAGGAGGTACAAGGGTTGTGAGAGTATACAAGATGGTACAAGGGTTGTGAGAGTATACAAGGAGGTACAAGTGGTTGTGAGAGTATACAAGGAGGTACAAGTGTTGTGAGAGTATACAAGGTGGTACAAGGGGTTGTGAGAGTATACAAGGAGGTACAAGGGGTTGTGAGAGTATACAAGGAGGTACAAGGGTTGTGAGAGTATACAAGGAGGTACAAGGGGTTGTGAGAGTATACAAGGAGGTACAAGGGGTTGTGAGAGTATACAAGGTTGTACAAGGGTTGTGAGAATATACAAGGAGTTACAAGGGGTTGTGAGAGTATACAACTGTAGGTGGTGTATACATCACCTCTTTGTATGTAGGAGGTGAGGAGGTGATTTTTGGCTGTTGTCAGGTCTGCACAACTGGGGTTCTCTTTGTGCTGGACACCCAGCTGTAGCCAAACATCTCTTGATAATGTCATTGACTTCTTCATGTCTGGGAATCTTTCCCTGTGTCTGACGACAGATGAGACCATGGCTGCCGTATTGGTCTGCGTGGAAACCTTGTATTTTCCTTGTGGAAACCTTCCGAAAACCTTGTATATGCATGGCCGCAGATACACCGGTGCTCGGTGGAGATAGGGGCGGCAAGGCGCAGGGCAACACCAATACTTAGGGTCCGATGGTCCAGGCGGGTGCCCAAGGCGGAATTAGGGACTGCCAACAGGAAGTCCCCGGCATGGGGCGCTTGCACAGCTAGGAGACGCGCTCTGTCCTTCCTGGAAGCTGCCTCCAGCAATGCTTCTTGAGGTTATCTGGTGATGATTTGGTGGCTTAGCGTTCCCGCGGCCCGGTCCTCGACCCAGCATCCTTTTTTTTACACACCACCCAGGAAGCAGCCCGTAACAGCTGTCTAACTCCCAGGTACCTATTTACTGGTAGGTAACAGGTGCATCAGGGTGAAAGAAACTCTTCCTATTTGTTTCCGCCTCCACCGGGGATCGAACCAGGAACCTCAGGACTACGAATCCGAAGCACTTCTATATTCTTAAATGCTTCTGCACCAAGAGGAAGTATGGGCCAATAGACCCTTTGGTGTTACTTCCATATATCCAAGTAATACCCATTGTTCCGTGTTCTGTCCTGTGTTGGTCACAAGTTTGTTCACCTCCACCTTCTGGAGCCGGTCGGCCGAGCGGACAGCACACTGGACTTGTGATCCTGTGGTCCCGGGTTCGATCCCGGACGCCGGCGAGAAACAATGGGCAGAGTTTCTTTCACCCTATGCCCCTGTTACCTAGCAGTAAAATAGGTACCTGGGTGTTAGTCAGCTGTCACGGGCTGCTTCCTGGAGGTGGAGGCCTGGTCGAGGACCGGGCCGCGGGGACACTAAAGCCCCGAAATCATTTCAAGATAACCTCAAGATAACCTAACCTCACCCAAAACTGTTGTACCATATCACCTCACCCAAATGCGAGTATAAGTATGACGGATTTGCGTGTTTACAAGTTACAGTTTTGTGTGTAAACTAAAGTCTTTGAAAATGTA